CTAATTCTTTTTGAATTTTAATCTAAATAAGTAAAATTTGCTTTTGTAAGAATACTCGTATTTTCGTGCTTATAAGTTCGCGTAAAGTTTTCCAAATTGCCGAAAAAATCGGCAAAAAAGCAGCAAACTATCCCTTTCCTACATTCAATGACCAAATTCAATATATGTAGTTAACTTTAACAATCATAATCACTTTGTAAGAGCGCATTAATATTACAGTTTGTCTCTCACTTTGTCGATTAATGTGAATTTATTGATCTGAGTTTTGCACTGAAAAATGTTGCTCGTATCAGCTCTGGTCGTTTAGCCATTTAGTTAAATGAAATGCATCCATAAATATCGCCAGCCATTCCATCTGTTGCGTGGCTCACAAAACAGATCTAAATACACTTTTAGAACTTTACCTGTAAAGCACCTGTTGCGATTTGAAAAACGTCAAGCTTTTCCGCTTTTATCCGAAATTTATGGTAATTCCTGGTTTATACGTGCGGACTATCCTTCTTGTAGGAACAATTAAAACTTTGTTTTCAGGAGCTGGCTGGTACCAAGTCTATAATTTGTGTTATTTCAAGATGAAACTTTGCGCTCTCTGCTGTTTTATGTTTATTCGTTTTAGATCTGTGATGGCCTCTTTCTTTTTATGAGGGTAACTGAGTATCGTAAAATTGCGTTAAGCGATGACTTCTTTTTGCATTTACTTGTGCTTTTTGTAACACAGTTGAAACAGTTTGGTTTATAAATCACACAATAATTTCGGTATTTTAAGGTCGAGAGCTTAATATTATTAATTATAATACATAATATTATACATTTTTAAAAGTCACATAATAACTTAAAATAAAGCATCTTCACTATCAAGCTTGATTGGCATGAATCAAGCGGAAAATGGAAACGAAAATATTTCTTGATAAAGGGTCTTGATAAATTTCATCAATATTCCTGCCAAAATGGATCTTTTTGCTAAATTCAAGGTACGATTTTCCATCTGAAACGGACCCCTGATGGTCTTTATCGCAGTAATTGTTTGCTGGCACCCTTATTGTTTCCCCGTAGTTAAATAAGTTTTCCATTCCCCGAAAATTTGGAGGTGTTATTCTAAAAGAGTTTTCAAACCGGCTTCGGCCCTTCGAGCGCTTCAGAAAGATTTTATCACCATCTTAAATTCAATTTAGCCCCGAAGAGTTTACAATTTGGTTAAAGTTCCTGATTTGTTTGCGAGAGTAAATTAATGATAAACTACTTTTTCGAAAATAGATACTGACGGTAAATGATCATGAAAAATTCTGATCGATTCAATGTTTTATTGCGCAATAGTTTTAATCTTTTAGTGAGATTTTTTTAAATTCGGTTTTTAAGATAGAATCCAACTTCTGTTTTGGAAAATCTGGAAATGGTAAGACATTTACGCTTTGGATCAGGCATTTGGTATTTTATCTTTCTCTTCTTTCTGAAAAACTATTAAATTCTAGTTATTGCTATTGATAGTTCTTAATTCATTTTCATTGAACATTTATTATTAGTCTTAGAATTTTTCATAAACTTAGTCAGCATTACTACATTTAATACGTAAATCGTACATAATCTATTAGCAAACCGACTCATAAAATCTGTTCAACTCCATATAAAAATGGAAACAAATAAATGATCACCCTCAAATTCACATAAAATGAACTGTTTCCTTCAAAGGCACTTTATCAAGGAATATTTAGTTTTGCGAGAGATTTAAACCCACTCGAGCGTTGTATTTGCTGCATCCCTAGAATTTAATATCGCAGACCGAAATAATCTTTGCAGCAAGTAATTTTGTAATGGAAAAGTAGACATGTTTAAAATTGAGATAAAATAACATTTGTTGAATAAGCAGATACAGTGAAAAAGTTGAGGTTTAAAGGAAAATTAAATTGATGTAGACTGCTACCATTATTTTTCCAAGACTTGCTATTAGGGCGAAGTAGAAGGGCAATGTGAAACGTTCTAACATATAGATGGTATTCTGATTCCCGTATTTTGAAATGAATAATTTAGTCAAAAATAAGAGAAAAAACAGAAGAAAAAAAAAAGGAGGGAGGTTCACACCCCATTGAGCTCAATCTAAAATCGTACCTTCAATCTTGAATTGAAGACTCGTAAAACCCCCAAAAGTTCACCTCTGGCAACAATAGCCATAGTAGCTAATAATAAGCTAATATAAAGCTAGTTTAGTAGCTGTTTTGGACCTAAAGATTTATTTTACTCTACTACAAGGTGTGGCTTGTCGAATCGTGCTGTTCGGCGGTTTACGCCTTTGAATTATATCGTCAATAGAAGCAGTATTTATTTGAATTTTTAAGTCAAGAACTAAAGTCCATGGAACTCATAAAAACAAAGATCAAGGGATTCAACATTTGAAGAGGACATAAAAGATTTTTCTAGATGCAAAATCCTGATCTTCGTCGTCTGAATACACTCCTTACAGCAATTTTAAATGTACTCCAGTAAACTGTTGCTGTTATGTTATGAAAAGTTATGTTCTGAAAAACTGAAACATGTTTGAATGTATACAGGTTGCTCAGAAGTGGGGTAAATTTATACATAAAAAGCCTGCAGGCCGATTTTCCTTCGAAATACAAACTTTCAGTTGAGCCTTAACAAACTTTTATGCTGCGCCATTTTCAAATATTTTTTAAGTCCAACCTGAAGCCGACTGCAAATTTGTCTCTGGATCTGTTTATGAAACGCACTTTACTTCATCAGACTGATAATTTGAAATTTAATCGTAGCGAAGACTGATTTTTAATCAGTTAATAGCAGACAATTCTTTCAAGTATATCGCAGTTCAGGCCAGTTTTTCAGAAAGTCACAAACTTTGAAATCGACGCCACCATTGTCTGGATGTGAAAACCGCATCCATTTGTGTCTTGCCTCAAACCCTTTTATCGATTATTGAATGAATATTATATGAAATATCGAAATTTAATGCGAAAATAATATTGATCATTAAATCGAGTAAATGTATGACACTAATTTTTGTGGGTCAAAATAAATATCAGTTATAAGGATTAATCTTGTCTAAGAAAAATGAAACCTTAAATTAAATACTTACCAGCTTATGATTATTTTAGCAATTTTCAGTTTTGCATAGAAATAAAGTCCATGTTTAATGTTGAATACTTAGGTTTAGATCTCTTTCAAAGCGACCCGGTATTTTGTCCGTAAATAAAGCTTTCTTAAAATGAACTAAATTCTCATTAAGCAGCTCCAAATAATTTAGTTAAAGGCTTGATCAACATAAAAGCTGAAATGCCAATAGAGTTTTCATTAAAGGTGTTTTGTTTGGGTAATTTTTTAAAATTTATTTTTACATCACCTGATTTTAGTTTAGTCGCGGCAAAACACCCAAAGCAGAAAACCAATTATATAATGTCAAGTACGTGCTTTGTGAAACAACATACCTATCTAAAACAGTGAATGAATATGCATGCTCCATCGGCCTTTGATGCTCTATCGGGTTAAAAATCAGGAGTCAAATTTTTTAGTTTGCTTTGGGCGTTTTACGAAAAATAATTAGTCGGATGGCTTGCCAGCTCTTTAAAATCCTTTGAATAAGGCAAAACTGCAACAGAAAAGCCAACTTCTAAAAGGATCATGTTCAATGGTGTGTTTGATGAATATTAAATGTTGTCAATTTTATTTTTGATTTTATTTTATTTTAAAATCAATACTGGGAGTCTCTGTTATAAATGTGGATGTGAATTATTTTAAGTTTCTTAAATATGGGGGTATCTAAAATGACTAAGGATATCAACCTATAGACATTATCTGTTGTAGTTCTGCCAAAAATTAACTTTACTTGACAAATTCTCGCTAAAAGTTAATTGTTGCGTTTCCTTCAAAGTAAATGCCCAACAAGTTACTTTTTCATGTATTTTTAATCCTCTTTATTCAGTATTTCTATTTATATGGGCCTCGACAGACTGATCACAGTCAGAATAATCGTAGTTTTGGATGAAGCATTGTGGCAATAATTTACATTTTAATTTGTGTGCTTGAATAATTTGGATTTTACTTCGCAACGAAAAGCTCTCTGTTTGTGACTGTCAGTACTGGTTTAATATGTTGAAAACCAAGTAGTAAATTGAGCAGTAGAAACACAAGAAAACTCGACTCTGAGATAATGGTGGTTGCCTCAACTCGTTTACCCATGGACTAAACAATGTAGCGGAGATGATTGATGCGCCTTTCGTCTATCAGGCTAAAGTTAATAGAGGCATTTTATCAAACGGTAGACCGCAAACCTAAATATCCAAACTATACACAGGAAAGAAACTGTTGTAATTATCATTGGGGATTTGCAGTTAAATTTACATTTATAACAATATAATTTTGTTATTGTATTAGGGTTTTTTGGATACTGAACCTCCTCACTTAATTAGGAGAACAATTACAAAGTTTGCAAGGTATTTACGTACATTTTGAATCTGATTTGAATCAATTAGAAACTTTGACAATAGCTGCAAATATTGCCTTGGTCGAAATTAAATTTGAACGCACCGATAAAATCTCTCTGAGTAGCTTCGGATGGCAATTCTTTCGGGACCACCGAGAACCTCTTAAAAAACAACACAATGAAAATGTAGGGGAAGAAAAGTTATTTAAATGCGAGAGAACGGCGAGGGTGCAAGCAAGCAGGCAAATAACACAATGAAGCCCATTTGAAAGAGAACACCCCTGTCTCTACGAAAACGAAGAGAGTATGGAGTAGAAAAAAATACAAGTTTAATTACTTGGGATATGTTTTTTTGGGAATGGACTGCCTGGCTATTGTTTCAAGAGAAATGGACTTTTGTTCAATCAACGTCGCACTTGCAACGGTGGGGATTTTCTTTAGAAAATGCCCGCTTTAAGAGCTGAGAACAGAATTTACATAATTTATTTCCTTTTTTGGATTAGTTCATTTTTTAAATTTGCTCAGCATACTACTTCTCTGGTTGGATTTTTCAAACATGCTTTACTATTTTCAGGTTGACAGTATGATGTCCTGTTCTCTTCCAATTGTGCCAGTTTTGCCGTCGTTGCCTTCGCTGACTACATCCCAGGATTACCCAATTCATATAGGAATAAAGGTAAGTTTTCATGATAATAGCTTTCTATTAGGCATTGTATTTACACGGAGCATGTAAAGTCTGTTTCGGAAATTAAATTTTCTATTCAACAACAAGGTGCGATATGAAAAAGTGTTTTATGATTTCTCTTTAAAATTTTTTGTAATGGATTGTGAGTTATTTAAATATTGGTTCGCACCATAGATAAAAAGCAAGCATTTGCAAAAGTGTATATTTAGAATGTGTTCTAATATGGCTAATTGCTTCGTTTTGATGCGTAGCGATTGTACCGACAACCGTTGGGAAGAACCCCGAGAATACCGTTGGGTAGAATTTACCAATTGTTTAGCCACCAATATATTACACGGCTTTTTCTTTTAATGTTGATGGTGAAAAAGCTTCTTTGTATGCATATAAAAGGGTCAGTTGAGATACTATACACATCGCTCGTTCGCTACATCTATGAGATACTCGTTAGCTACATCATCCCTCTAGCTAAAAGCTCCAATGCTAGGAACAGGTTGGTTAGTAAAAAAACCTGCGTTTTTTCCGCAAATTCAGACCTTCGGTGATGGTAAAATAAGATGAATTTAGCTGTTTACTAGATACACATTATCACTTTGACGGATTTTTCTTAAAACTACTGACTTCTCTCTCAGAATTAAGCGGATCGAATGCTCATCTTCTGCGATCAGTAATAAATACAGGGTGTCCTATTTCCTTAATTGTTACTGCTATCAAGAAAGTAGCAGAGGCGCAATGTGTTCTTTTTAGGTCGCACTTAAAATTATAAAATCAAAATTTGAAAAATTTTTCCCGCCAAAGAGATACAGGAAAAAATAACAAGTTCCCAATTTTCAAATCACCCTATATTTTTTTAGTTAACAGTCATACAGAAAAATATTGTATACAAAAGTTTCTTTATAATGATTGCTGAATAATCTGCCGTTTTCATAATAAGTATACGGGGATATATCAAAAAGTTATCGGTCTTAAGCTAATTAATGTTTTCAATTGGAGCACCCTGTATATTTTATTCCAACAAGATATAATTTTAAAATCACTTTTCAATAATATAACACAGTTAGAATGATATTACTTTAAATCACAGTAGGCCATGAAACAAAAGCCAATAACCTAGAAGCAACCTCCATCTCGACACCTTTTTCGAATAGATTTTAAAAGATTTATGATGTGCAAAAGTTTTATTTCTGCAAAGGCCTCATGCATTCTTTGATCAAGTTGTTCTTGGGTTAAAATGACTACTTAATAAATTTTACATTCCCCAAAAAAAAAGGGGAGGTGTTAGATCTGATGATCGTGGTGGCCTCTGTTATTCCGAGCTAAGTAAGAGTAAATAAAAAAATGAAAAGAAGCCATTGCGTTAGAAATTGGGCCCGAATAGTTGTTTTGTATTTTATGAACAGATGAGACTTATTTCCGCTTTAGGGATGAAGGTAGTGCTGAAAGTGTCGAATAGGCTCAAGAGAAAATCAACATAAATTCTTTCAGCAAAATGTTTATGACGAAAATATCAGCGATGGTTTGCAGCTACTTTTCCCATTGATTCTCATGAATTTTCTTAGAAATATAGAATAGGAAATCTTAGTCCGTAACCGATAATAGTCCTCGATGTCTGCAAACGATTTAGAATAATTCCACAAGAAAAACCATTTACGAAGGAATTCCAAACATGATTTTGATATTTTTAGTGAGTGATGAAATGGAATTCAATTCAATTCAATTCAATTCATTGGAGAAATTGTTTATTGATAGATTCCCATTGATTGCTAGATTTAAAAAATGTTTCAAAATAAAATTGTCTCACGTATAAACAACCTTTCCAACATTTCCTTATTTGCGATGTATAAACAAACTTTTATACATTTACTAGTTTGTAAACTGTGTCCAATTTGAAAATAATTTGTGCCCTTTTTTACATTTCAACAATTTTCACTCGTATTGAATATTTTCGAGACTAGTAAGGATGTATCCTATAGAAGCTTTAAAACTTTCCGAATTGCATTGCGGTTTCAAATATGTTTTTTTTTCAATGGAGTAAACGTTTTACCCGCTTCACGATCTAAAACTGTCGATCTGTCTAATAAGGAAATAAATGCAGATCGGCTAATTTCTCAGAGGACACTTTCTTGGCCGATATTCAAATTCTCCGGATTCACTTCTCCATGCGAAGTCCTCGGGGGGTTCCTGCAGATGTTTCTGCATTCGAACAACGGGCGCCCAGAGACATCAAATTACACACAATTTAGTGGCCACTGCTTTTGTAAGCTCTTGGTCCTTTGAGATCTACGACTGGTTCGACTTACTTTTTCTTCGTTTTGAACATTTTCTTTTTAGGTAATATAGAATAGGAATTTATAATGCACCCCCTTTGAAACCGACCCTTAAATTTAGTTGTATGGGTAAAAATAATATTTACATTCTACGGTACTCAAAAGCTTGATTTACTACTGGCTCGGATTTAAATGCTTTGATAAATCAGTTCTTCACCAAACGGTAGAATTTCGAACTTAAGGGCAGACTTCCATTTTCCAAATTACTATTTGTTCCAATTCATCACCGCCGTCCCTCACGTTTATCCAAAAGGAAAAGCGTGACATTCAAATATTGACTCTGAATAAATAAACGTACTTTTACGTAAAGGAAATATTAGAGGTTTTTTTCGATAATTTATAACATACATAATTTTATTAATTAATGTGGTTCTGTTAAAGACTTTCGAGCGATTTTGTGCTTTGAACAATCAATTGGCTCCCATTCTATGAATATTTAAAGAAAATCTGATTTATTCATATTCTATTTCCATGCTACGGTATTGATTGACTGAAGGTAACAGAAATGGATTAAATGTTCCCAATTCAACATTAATGCCAACACAAAATGTTCATGCCAATATGGGACTTTGTGCGATCATGATAATACACAATTATTTGACAGCGGTTTATCGGAATTCGACTATAAAGCTAATACTTAATGTAAAAGTGAAAATGAGGGTTTATGTGGACCTTTCATGCAATTTTATTTATTATTAAAACGGTTAATATTCACTGTCTTCTGCAGAAGTTTCAGAGTTTCACCTCAGTTATTTATTATTTGTGCACTAGTGTTAAACCCTGCATAATGATTGAGCTAATTCCTGCAGCTTTCCAGAGACTTGGTTAACGTTTTGACTGTATGCTAATTTAAGCAATATCAGGTGCTTATGCTTTTCTTTATATGATTTTTGCGAGTAGAACTAACCGATTTTTAATGAAAAATCTACTCCTTTCTCGTTTTTTCGTGAATGTGGGCGGAAGGTATAATTTCCAAAACTTTTATGCAGAAAGTATTACGATTGCAGCAAGAGGTCAGTATCCAGGAGTTTGCAAATTCGCATTTATAGGAATTTTTTTTTTTGAAAAATATCAATATACATTTTAGCTATAACTAAAAAGTAATTTAACATTTATTCCGTTAAGACTGTGTGTAAATTTACTTGTTCTTATCTGCAAAGTGTTGCATCCCCTTGAATATTGCATACAGCCCTAAGGTCCCGAGCAATTGCAATTAGTTTATGGACTTTAAGAAGTTGCATAGTTCGACGAAACTATGCATGTATATCAATTTTGTGGCATATGGTGCTCCAGAAATGATAAACGATGTGGCAATAAATTTCACTTAAGACGAACCGAACACACAATTCGGTGGTATATCATATGCCTGTTGACTAGCAAATCTGGGCTCAACCTCGAGAACGTTTTCCTGCTTTTTGTCGCCGCAATATATGAGACAGTTTAGATGAATTGAGATAAATTTCGTGTTTGTTACGATTGTGTGTCAAGTAAAATTTAAAAAAAAATTACAAATATTTTTATTTTTATAATTCAACCTCGATAACAGGTGTGTTCGCATTCAAAATGTTCGTGAAAACGTGAAATGTCATAATAATCTAGGTATTTGTCGTGCACATTAATTCACACGCATGTAGTGATAAGCTTTGTTCATTATTTTAATGTTTCTTTGAATGCTCATATAAATTAATTTGAAGTGTTTTAGAGATCTGGGTTATTAGATATATTTTATTTACCTTTCATAAGGCTTTTTTATTTAGTTCTAGAATAGCATATTGTGCTGGAGTGTTTGGAAAGTGAATTGTCTATAATTTGCACTCATTTGAAAACAAACAAATTGTTCTACAATTCCATTCATGAAAGATTATCCGAAATAATAAATATTAAAAATGTTTCCTAAATAATTGAGTAGAACACCTAATTTAATTGAACAATTAGTTAACATGTTTTGGTATTGAGACCGTAAATGTGCGCCGTTCTTCAGCTACTAAATAATAATGATTAATTCTTATAATTTGTTACAAAGTTCACTGAAATTATTGATATCGTTGACTAATTTCTCTCCTCACGTATTTCAGTTTTTCCTACATCAAGTCTACCGGATTCAATGTGTAATGAGCGAATTATGTACTTTTTATTTTAATCCGTTTCTTACGCAAACCATACCTACTTGTGCAAGTCTCTTCATCGATTTGTCCTCCGTCTGCGACTTCTTTTGACAACTAGATAGTTTATTTAATATTTGATTATTGAAACTATTTTCCGTGTTCAAACGATATTTTTWATACTATTTTCTAATTAATTTTCTATTTTGTATTTTTGTATGAATCTTGCTGGTAATTGACCCAACATGCAAACGTTTTTTTTTGCSTAATCCCCACAGCTTGATTTTTGTAAGAGTATATTAAAGAAAAAAATAGTGTAGAGCTCTTCCCGACTGAAAATTGTGCCGCGTCCATATCAGGTTCTACATTTTTTATTACATAACAGTTTTACCAATCAGTTTTAACTGTTTGAACAAATACAACAAATACTTCTTTGAACTGAAATTCAAGGTTTCAATGCAACTTTTTCAATTAAATGTTTTTTTTAAGTTCTAGAAACTCGTCTGTTAAGAATAAAAAGAAGGCAATTCGAGAGTAACTAAGAAATAAGGAATAAGGATATTTC